GTACTGTGGAAATGCTGTGCTAAGTACTAACGCTCCTCCCTGACCCGTAGGAGGAGACGCTGCAGCGGTGCAGAGAAGACGACTTAAAGAGGAAAGAGATCACCACCCATTTCCAGGGGACCCTGAGCGACATCCAAGCCCAGATAGAGGAGCACAGCAGCCGCAACACCAAGCTGTGTCAGGAGAACGGCGCCCTGGCAGAAAAACTCAAGGCCCTCATTGCACAATATGACCAGCGAGAGGCGGTATGGAGCTTACCACACACACAGCCGTCGACTCTGTGCCAGACTCAAAGAGCAGATACAGTACATCACAGAAAGGCCAAACCATACTCTCACTCTGCGCCAGAGGGGGGAAAGAGTACACGTTAATTTGACGCAATGTGCTCACGCAATCCCTGACCCATCTGCATCCACGCATTCATTACCTTTCACCCTGGTCTTACTTCTATTAGACACAGTAGTCCAGCCAAGCCTTAATCCGAGCGAGAAGTGAAATATCTCTCTGCGTAAAAGCGACTCATAAATCCCCTTGATTGTCTACCAGAACTTGGAAAAGGTTTTCAAGCACAGAGACCTGAAGGAGAAACTTCTGGAAACCAAGCTAGAGCAGGCCAATCTGATCCTGAAGGAGGCCGAGGGGAAGCACAAGCTGGAGAAAGAGCTCGTACGTCCAGTGAATCATGTTTGGGTTATGAGTAAGTGTGAGTCTGCATGTATTAACGTGGGATGTGTTGATACCACAACAGCTTCTTAAACAAGTGGCGGAGTACAAGCTGCAGCTGAGCGGCCTGAAGGAGCAAGAAACAGACATGAGGAGTCAGGTAGGCCAACCGGTTGCCATCTGCAACATTTGTTTGTTTTATTTCAGTTTTAGATTGTTTTTCTTCTAATGATTTCGTCAACTCTTCCCAGCTTGACATGTACTCCAAAAAGTTCGACGAATTCCAAGGTACGGTGTCGAAGAGCAACAGCGTCTACAGCGGCTTCAAACAGGACATGGACAAAGTAAGAACGGCTTTTTGTAATGTTTCCTTCTAGTTCCCGTCACTTGCAAAGCAAAAATAGAATGATCCGCCCAGATTTTTAGAAACAAGAAAAGTGTTTAGCAGTGTGCTATATTTGTATTGTTTAGATGGCCAAGAAAATGAAGAAGCTGGAGAAAGAGTGCCATTCATGGAAGACGCGCTTTGACAGCTGTAACAAGAATCTCATTGACATGGTGGCTGATGTAAGCAACAATTTTCAACAAACTTGAGTGTATTATAAGGATTTTATAGACCAACACTACCTCCCCTAACACATCAGACAGGTTAAGTGATAAACCAAACGGAAAACACCTGCTACCATCATCCCCACTGTTAACAAGGCGGCCTGCGGTAGACTCGAGCTCTGAGAATGTTTAGCGCCCCCTGCTGACACAACAGCACGTTTAGGTGGTACAGGTCAACAAGTGCACCAGTTGTATACTAACAAACCAAAGCCTTCATAATTTGAAAGTCTGTTAACAATCAGTGTTTGAAATATTTACTTAATAATCTACCTCAGCTGGTTGTTTACAGCGCAAGCAATTTCCGGTAAGCATCACGGACAAATGTTGGCGATTGGGTAAAGTCTAATGGTGCGTTCACACCAAACGTGTTGCGCCCGTCAAAAACCAGTTCGACTTGTGCACATTGAATGCAGAAGCTTGACATTTCGCTCTACACGTAGCGTTTTGCGCATCTGGTTTATATTCAAAGTCTAAGTGGAGGCACGTCAGACATGTGGGATAGCCGTCTAGCCGTTGTTTTCCGTTGGACGCTCTAAGCGGTTCAAATCACGCTGTGCTAGACGCTCAAAACGTGCCACAATGGTCTTGACGCAACTCCACATAGACTTTGAATGTAAACCAGACCCGCTTGACGATTAAAACACATTTGGCGTGAACACACCATAACACTTCAAGAGACCACAACTCCAGGAAGCAATTGTGTCTCAATAGCTAAGGGTCCAGATCCTCTGTATGAAGTAAAGCACAGCATACGGGGTGGCTTTTTACCAGGCTAAGTTAGCAACATAAAAATCAGCAAATTCCGCCAATTTCCAACTTGCAAAAGGAAATTGTTCAACTCTGGTGTGACGTTATTCCCTGATCTGACGTCCGACTTCCCAGACAAATGTAACGTAGCATAATTGAGATAAACTTTGCCAGCAGCGGCCCTGAAATAAAATGCTGCTCAGGGTCTCATGCGCCTTTGGGATGGTCTTTGGCCTAGCACATACATTTTCAATAAAAACATTGATGTTTGTTGTTGTAATGTAAGAAAATACCTCAGTTAGAGAGAACTGCAAGAGTTTTGTCTGTGTCATCTCAACAGAGAACCATCAAGGAAAAGGAGTTTGAGCTTCTCACTATCAAGAACCAGAAGCTCGAGAGTCTTTGCAGGGCTTTACAGGAGCAAAGGAAGAACCTATCTAAGCAGGTACAGGGAGCTCAACCAGACAAACACACTGATGAGCAAGCGCAGAAGGAAGGCGGTGATGTGCCGGAGGCTGCTACAGATCAAAAAGAGGATCATCCAGCTCAGGACACAGGAAACCCCGCCTCTGCTGAATCACCAGTGCAAACAACTCCGCTAACCGAGGCACTGGCTAAACTGAAGGCTGAGCAGGCTCTACTGAAAGAGATCGCTGGTTCTTTCACAATATCTCACACGACACCCACAGAATCAGCAGATAGTCAGTCACATGGACTCTCCGAGGGCATCGAAGGGCCAGAGGAGAAGCAGGGAGAGGAGAGCAAACACCAGGACGTCCACGAGGATCAAAATCAAGAACAGCGAGATCGGGAGATGGAGTCAGTTGATTAATGCAGAAACCGCTGCGACACAAAACCCGCTGCATGTCAGAATACAAAAAATATTAATAAAAAAACCCCAACGTGAGCTTTGTCTTTATTGTCCGTTCATCATGCCATGTGTAAAGGTTGAGGTTGCTTTTAGATTTTACCACAAGAGAATTATACACGTGGAGTTTTAAGCATTGTTAAGAATAGAATGAGCCTTTGTTTTTAGGCCAACATTCAGAACTTTTCATGAAGAAAAGTGAGATTAAAACTCCTAGAACTGCAAAAGGGAGAGATGCCCAAAACCCACCTAGAAACCAAAAAGTTGGGCATCTCTCGTTCTGTGGCCTAATGAGAGATGCCCAACTTTCTGGTCTCTAGATGTCTCTCATGTTTGGAACAGAAACAGCTGTCTACATATGGCTAAAAAGGGCTAAAGAGTCTGTACGTCGGCACAACTAAAGAATACCACCAAAGCATGAACTCTCGTTGGGTATTAGGTAGACAGTACTGCAGGGAAGACCCTTATGGTGCGTTCACACCTAAAGCGTTTTGAGCATCAGGCGCGTCTGGTTTACATTCAAAGTCTATGTGGAGGTGCGTCGAGGGCCGTTGCGGCGCGCTCTGAGCGACTGAAACGTCAAGAGCGTCCAATGGAAAACATCAGCTAGAGCTAACGCATCTGACGTGCTCTTGAGGCACCTCCACATATTTTTTGAACGTAAACCAGACAGGTGAAGCAATAGGTCTAGAACAAAATGAAAAGCGTCTGCATTCAAATTGCAGACGCATCGAATTTGAAGTGTCAGACGTCTTTTTGACACAGTAACGCTTTTGGTGTGAGCGCACAATTAGACCTTCAGAACTGCCTCAAGTCTTTGTGGCATAGAGTCAACAAAGTGGCAGAGACATTCCTCTGAGATTTTGGTCCATATTGACGTGATTTGTTGGCTGCACATTCATGACATCAATCTTTCATTCTACCTCACCCCAAAGACGCTCTGTTGGATTGAGAACTGGTGAACGTAGAGGTCATAGCATCACAATGACCTTGAGCTAAGCATGCATTTTCTAATTTATCAAAAAATGTTTCAGGGAAGTTAAATAATTATTAAAAACGTGTTATGCAGTTTTTCACAGACTGGCCTCTTGAGGACATTTGAAGTGTAAAAAGTTGCGTATCTCTTTAAAGTGCCACATTTTAAAAAGTACACGACTAGTTTCTTATGCCAAGACGCTCACATGTTTTGTTGAAAGCAGCAGAGCTCTGCTGGACCTCGCTGAGAAAGAGAGCAAGGAAGGTAGGCGGGCAGCGTTTTGTGAGGCCAGACAAGCGCACATAAAAATAGACGGCGGACACAGTGTTCTGCAGTTGGCTGCCAATTTATGGGGGCAGCTTGATTGGTGGACGCAGGAGGCCTGTCAGTCAGTACACATCAGAGTCTAAATGCATGTATTTTGTGTCAAACTGGTTTTTGAAAGGAGATCATTAGTCAGAAAATGCAGACAAAGCTAAACCAGTCAAGTTTGTAACAGGGTGTTTTTTTATATGTGTAAAGCTGTTTATGTCTTTATTTTTCTTTACTGCAAATTATCCTATAGACAAAAATGCTGATTCATTAGTACAATTTTGCATTTTCATGTGAAACAATGTGAAATGTTAAATGTTTTCTTAATTTTTGATTTCTATAACATATTTCAAAACATTAACAAAAACTACTACACCTTATGAATTCCTTGTACACCAATTTTTATGACTTACGGCACAATTGACAACTATTTCTAATAGTCACAGCAAACATTACCACCAAGTGTTTTATTGACAAATCTAAATTGAAGATAAAGACACATTTAGAGAATGAAGTGTGGATTTTTACAGCTGGATTAAAAAAATATACAAAGTAGTTTACAATTGTGTCAAAAAAAAGACTGCTAATTGCGTTTTGTGTGGTTTTTTTTTTTTGTTTTTTTTTTTGGTAAATTACATTACATGAGGCATTAGAAAGAAAACATGCTAGAAAGAATAAGTTTAAAAAAAACATGAAAGTAAATAGGGAAAACTGAGGGAAATACAAAGAGACTAGCTCAAATGAACTTGAATCAATCACTTAATGCCTTATGGTGACTAAAGGCAGAGATTTAAAGAACCAGAAAACTTTAAACTTTACACTAGCTGCCATTTGAAACCAACTCTTAGGCCCAAAATTGGGATAAAATAATAAGTCATATTAGTATCATAATCGAATCTCTTGAGTGTGAAATCAAATACATGCTTCCTCTAGTCATGTTTGACATAGCTAATTTAGCTTTAGCTCATTTAGCTAAAGCAAGTTGAAACCTTTACTCTTTCATTTTGATGCTAATAAAAATTGCTTCCAGCTGCGTTGCTTTGCGGGAAGCAGTGGGGAAATTTCGACAGCTAAGGGCGAGTTATTAAAATATGTTTTGAGAAAAGAAAAAAAGCCCCGTAACATCAAGGCTGCTGTCAGAAAGGTGAAGCTTTATTAGCTTTTATTGGGTGCAGCTAACGTGGCCCAGGTGCAGAGAGGCAATGAATTATGACTACTTACCGCGAAGTGTGAAAACGCTGGACGGAAACCTTCAGCTAAGCGGTCTTTTTTTTTTTTTAAATCGAAATCGCCACTTATCATCGCCCAGACAGGAGCGTGAGTCTGATTAAATGTGCCTCGGTACGGATAGGTGTGCCGTCCATTTCTGAACGGCAGTATTTCATGTCCGCTTTGTTCTTTGCAGAAAGTGACACTGCAGGAATATCTTTTTGGTAGAGGTAGAAAGACATCGCTGGTGCTACTCCGGTCTGCATGTTTACATGTTCTGACCTCATAAAGAAGTGGACCAGCTTCTGACGGTCACTTTATAAATAAATTGTTGCTTCCTCTTACCTCGAAAAATATATTCACACCCCTAGAAATGTTTCAGTTTTTTTCTAACTTACACTGCAAAAACACAAAATCCTAAGTATTTTTGGTCTAGTTTCCAATGCAAATGTATCAGAACACTTGAAATTAAATTAAACATACAAGTAACTTTCCAGCAAGATATATTTGCTCGTTTTATGTCAATAAATCCTTAAAACCAATGAAAAAGTACTAGCTGTAAGTGAAATAGAGTGGAACTTGTACTCTTTCAGCAATATTAAGGAATGATTTACCTAAAACACGCTCCAATATCTTTAAAAAAAGTTACCTGTAAGTTGGTTTTGTTTTATTTCAAGTGTACTAAGATGTTTGCACTAAAAAGTGGATTGGATTTTGTAAGATTTTGTGGTTTTGCAATGTGGAGCCATGAACGTCACCGTTTGAATTTTTTATTATTTTTTTTAACTCTAATTCTTCTGGGTAAAACGGCTCAAGTTCACCCAGGCTTGATCAGGAGTCATCGGCTTTCTGTCTGGACTTTGACTAGGCCCTTCTAATAATGCTTTGATCTATACCAATACATTGTAGCTCCTGCGGGAAGGAGAAGTGGAAGGTCAGTGCTTTCCCCAGTATGAAATCTTCTGTATTTTCTGACAAGTTTTCTCCCTTATTAGCTCTATCCATCTCTTCATCAACTCTGACCAGCAGAGAAGCAACTTCATATTTTTAATGTGCATTGTAATCGTTCCCCCCTGGTGGTCAACTCTTTTGGAAACCAGTTAAATATTGTGTACAGAACAAGCAAACTGCTCTGCCGCAGTCCTGCCCAGAGGCCCAGAGGCTTGGATTCTTTGATAAAGCTGCTTTTTATGAAATTCAAAGCTTCCTCACTTAGTTTCTGGAAAAGATAACCAGTAGCCCAGGAGATACTTAGAAAGATCAAGAGATTTTGATCAACCACTGGTTGTTCTCTCGTCTATTTAAAAACCTGACTCTTGCTTGGCCTTGTCAGAGTGCGGCAGCTCCAGCAGACCCAGTTGGTGCCACGCAGAGAAACTGGCACGCATGGCCAATGTGGACAAACTTCTGGAGCACATAGGAGACTTTGGACCCTTCCAGAAGAAGATGGTCATACTTGGGTCTCTGCCATTGGTCTTCATTCCGTTCGTGTTTGTTGGAGTCGTCTTCCTGGGCCACACTCCGGACCACTGGTGCTGGAGCCCCGGGTCCGAGCAGCTCCTGCAGGAGTGCGGCTGGACAGAGGTCAAGGTGCGAGAAGTTACCGTTCCCCACGGCGAAGAGGCCGGATCCTTCAGCCGCTGCCAAACGTTTGCCGTGAACTGGAGCCAAAGCTGGAACAGATGCGAGGCGTTTGAGCAGGAGCTGACTTTAAACGGATCCCATGCTGTGCCGTGTGACGGATGGATGTTTGATAAGAGTCACAAAACTACAGTTTCTGAGGTTGGTACATTATCTGTCTGATAATAAAAAGATTTAGAAATGTAAACTATGAGACAGAAATCAGCAGGAAAGACTAAGCTTGGTTTCTCTAGAAGGTTCCCTGTGGATGAGAGCTGCTTTAGCTCTACTTAGAAGTCTGCCTGCAATGCCACATAATATCCATGTGACCATGCAACAGGAACCAAGCTGTCCCTCAGCTAAAAATAAAACAGTGTACAAACTTTCTGAGAAAACCTCTGACACTTTTAGGTATTTATCTTAACTGTCTGGAGATGTTTCCTTGGGAGAATATTTTAATTGTTGGCATTTTTGTCCCCCCGTAAATCTAAAGTTTTAGTTTACATCTGAAAATATTTTCTCATTGTGCCATGGTGCAGTGCTTTACAGAAGCTGTGACTCCCTGTAAGGTTCCCCTTACTTGCTATTATACTTGCAGAGTCGGGTAGTGACTAGTTACATGTACCTGAGTACATTTTTGGAAAAAAATTACTTTTAGGAGGATTTTTACTGTGCTGTACTTTTTACTTTTACTCGAGGGATTTTATTGTGAAGTATCACTACTCTTACTTTAGTAAAATTTCTGGATATTTTCTACCCACAGTGAGAATCTTCACTAAATGAAGAACAAGCTTGTTTTCACCTGAAATTCACCAGACACACCTTGTAAAGTTTCATAAGTTTTATATTAAAATAAATTGATTTAGAACCATTTTTCTTTTTTTTTTTGGTTTTGTTTTCTTTTGGTATATTTATGTTTTGGTCCATCTGATGAAATATTTTTTAACTATTTAAATGATTGATGTTTTGATCAATTACTCATACCTGAGTAGCCTTTTCACCAAATAAATTTTTATTCTCGAGTAATTTCTTTAGCGGCTACTATTTTACTTTTACCCGAGTACAAGTTTTGGGTATACTGCGTAGTTGCAGCAAAAACTATTTCTACAAAGTACTCACTTACTGTTCAGTTTTCTTTGTAAAAAAAACAAACAAACAAACAAAAAAAAACATTGAAAAACAACATTTTCCTCCTCTTTCACAAGAATGCCCAACTTCTTGTTGGTCTATCAATTAAAACCTCAATGAAATTGATAGAAAATGCCAAAAGAAAATCAATACTTTGTGAATACTTGCATAATAGTTTTATACGGATACATAATCATATTTGTAAAAGCCGGTTATGATCTGCTTCCTCTTAGTTTTCACTGGTGTGTGAAAAAGCCTGGCTTGCTGACCTAAATCAGGTGTTCCTGGCTTCTGGGTTTTTTACTGGAGCTTTCGTGACTGGCTATGTGGCTGACAGGTTCGTTTCGCCCCACCACCTACCAACTTTTTACTTCATTGTGTCTTAAAATGAGCTCTGAAGGGCTGCAACAGCAAACATCTACGTTGGGTTTTTCGCAGGTTTGGCAGAAAGCCATGCGTCGTTGCCTCGATGCTCGGCCTGGGACTCACTGGAGTTGGGATCATGCTTTCACCATGGTATCCGCTGCTGCTCTTCCTGCGGTTTCTGCAGGGATTTTGTGGAAAGGGAGCGTGGACAGCCACTTATGTTCTCGGTAGGCGCTAAATGTTCACAAGCATCACCTTGAGCTATCATCTCTAGTTTATCTTTAGTGAAATTAGGTCCAGTGTGATGTCAACAAAGCAGCTCAGGTTATTTTAAATGTAGTTCAGAACTAAATGACTGTATTTTAATACATTAATGTATAGCTCTGTTGTCTAAAGCTCTCATATTTTTCAGTGGTTGAGTTTTTTGGAGCAGAAAACAGAAAATTTGTATCTATGGTCGGTCGGAGTTTCTACTCCATCGGTATGGTGATTCTGCCGGGCCTGGCTTACTCTCTGGTCTCCTGGAGGAACCTGCAGCTGGCTATGAGTCTTCCTTGCTTCCTGTTTGTCTTTTACTATTGGTATGACATTTATTTATTTATTAAGAAAGCATCACAGGAGCTCAAAGATTTATAGCACGTTGAATACAGGTTTTTTTTGTTTTTGTTTGGTGTATTTTTCTTTCAAGGATTGTCCCAGAATCTCCTCGCTGGCTGTTTTCTAGAGGAAGAAGCAGAGAGGCCATAAAAGTTGCTTCAGACATGGCGAAATGTAACAATAGAGTTTTGCCACATAATCTTCAAGAGGTATTTGGAAGTACTGCCTGTGTTTTATTATGACTTAGTAGCCATAATAAAATCTTACTGGAATATATTTCAGATGATTTCTTTGGAGGAAAAGAAGGAAGCACCTTCAGTGTCTTTCAAGGATTTATTTCGGACACCAAAGATAAGAAAAAACACACTGATTTTAACTTATGCCTGGTGAGTCAGTTTAGTCACAAGTATTAGCCGCGTTTCCATTACAAATGTGCGCAAATTATTGTCGATATTAATGCTAATGCTAATGAAACACAATTTCGCAATCAGAGATGCAATTAAAATCTCACGGGAAAAGTTTGTTCACGCGATAATTCATTAAAAAACATGTTATGCCATAATGCTCCAACCACTTCCTGTCGTCTTCTTCTTCGTGGTTTGTACCAGTTGTTGATCATGTGAATCGTTTGATGTATAAAAAATATTTCCATTCCAGTTCTGTTAAATAAACTAATTTCGATTCAGCCAAAAAACAAACAACAAAACAAAACCAAACAAACAAACAAAACACCTTATCCTTAGCGAAAAACAAGGTCCCCAAGTTATTTAAGAATTTATTTTCAAAATGTCAGATTGCGCAATTACACGGTCAATGGAAACGCAGCGAATGACGCCACACAGAATATACACACTTACCCATTTTCTGGACTGTGTGCCCCAAAAGGAAAACTTATTTCAATCTCCTCTCGCCCAGGTTTACGAGTACGGTTGTGTTTCAAGGCCTGGTTCTGCGTCTCGGGATCACCGGAGGTAATCTCTTTCTGGATTTCTTCATCTCTGCTGCGGTGGAGCTGCCCACGGGCCTCATCTTCTACCTGCTGGTGGACAGAGTGGGTCGACGCTCCCTGATGGCCATTGCTAACTTCACGGCAGGAGTCGCTTGCCTCGTCGTCCCTTTCTTGTCCACCAGTAGGTACCGCTTTGGAACAACACAACATGGTCAGTCGTTTGCAAGAATTCCTGAATATGGACTGTCTTTTTTTTTTTTTTTTTTTTTTTTTGCAGATTTTCTCTGGTTAAGAAAGCCTGTTGCAATCATCGGGAGGCTTGCTGTTGCCGTTGGGTTCGAGACTGTGAACTTTGCAAACGCAGAGATGTACCCGACTGCACTGAGGTGTAGCATCATTATGTGTTGGCGCTCGCCGCCACTGTTTTTCACTCCATTCTGGCTCATCTGCATTCAGTACAAGGTGGATGCCTGCCTGCTTGCGGTTCAGTCAATGCTGTTTGACTGGCTTTTGCAAAGCAACAGCCAATGAGGGAGTGCCATTCATTGCCCTTGACTGTGATTGGCTGAAACCCAAAGACTGAAAACAAGTTAGTTAGCTTCTGCGTTAGCACTAAGACGGTTTCCACTGTGTATTAATGCATATTGAGCTGTATTTGGTGTTTGAACTATTAAAATAAGCATGTATAGGAGTCCACTGTACACCTTTTTGCTAAAACATGTCCACTCATCTCCCTTCATATATAAATGAATCTGAGTGACATACTAGTATTAATCCAGAGGGTTTGATATGACCTCAATCCACCCTTACAGGAACTTCTCTGTGAAGGTTTTCCACAAGGGTTAGGTGTGTCTGAAAGAGAATATCTGGGAGAACATTGGTGTGTTTAAACGGTATGTAGAGCGAGAAGGCCTGGCTGCGGTTTAATGATCAGAACTCATTCAAAGCGTTAAACTGCAGACTGAGATCAGGAAGAAAATTACTGATTTATACCTTTAAGGAACTTGCTTTTTGCAGTCGAGTTGGCGCGTTCCAGTTCCCACAAAGTAACTGGTACGCGCACAAAGTAACTGGTAATGTACGAAATTGTCCGAAATGTCTTGGTACAGCGAACCTGCCTTCAGCTAGAACTAGGCCATAATCCTCCTTCCACCAAACTTTATATTTGACACAAGTAATCAGACGAGCACCTGTGTTCTTGCAAACACAGTGCAGCAATTATCTTATTGTAAAATATGTCATGAAGACACTCTTTCATGACATTATTAAGTCTTACAATTACATGCTATAACTGTAAACTCTTCTGTCTAATTTCTCCCAGAAACGTGGGTTTGTCCGTGTGTTCGTCAGCCAGCGACATTGGCGCGATCGCATCTCCCTTCCTGCTGTACCGACTGGCTAACATCTGGAAGGAGCTGCCTCTCATTCTTTATGGTGCGGCAACATTTTAGTGAAATAACCCTTTATTATTGGCCAGAAGACACTGGTTAAAATAGATTTATGACGGAAGTAAAATATGCGACATCTGTTTAAGGCGTCATGTCGGTGCTGTACAGCGCTCTGGTGACGCTGCTGCCTGAGATGAGCGGAGTTTCCCTGCCAGAGACCATAGAGGACGTGGAAAACCTGAAGAGGTATTTCATTTCTTAATAAATAATTCAACCTACTTAGTTTATGTTGCCCAAATATGGCAATGATAAGAGAACAAATGTCAGATTTACTGGTGCATACACTGTAAAAACAAAAAGAAGTAAAACGCTGACGGCTGTTGTTGCTGGAAATCCACCTTAAAATTGCGGGTAATCCTTTCTTTTTTCTTTCATGGTTAGATGGCATGATGTTATTGTGTAGTTTATGGTTAAAAATGACGCTTAAGTCACTGTAAAAGAAAATGTTTTCACTTAAAAAGAAAAGCTGTGTGTTTCCTGAAATGAACAATCTATAACATGAATGTAAAATGTACAAATGACCATTTTCACCGATTGATTTCACATCAAATGAGCAGTTTTCAATTGTTTTATAGCTTACAGGTTTTTACCTGTTACATTGTTTCTGTTTAGTCACTGTTAAATGTACAGCAAAAAAGAACGCATATGAGTTTTGTAGAAGAGGAAGTAGAGGAATGTGACAGGGAAGCAACAACTGATTATCAGAGAGAGGATAAAATATCTTAATAGTTGCAGATTTAGGAAGCTGCGGGCGGAAGATTGACTGATGGCCTTCTGTGTTTCCTGACAGGAGCAGAGACAAATCCAAGGACAAAATGGGAAACGACCAAATTATATGACAAAAGGACCAAAGCTGAACAATAACTGTTATTTTGTAGACGTTGTGTAGTTTGGTGGTGCGGTTCTGGAGGTTTTTCTTACATCGTGCTGCAGTGCCCAAAGGTTCTTACTTGAGAAGCAACAAAATCAACCATTTTAAAGTGTAAAAAAAGGGGGAAAAAATGCATCAGACGCTTGCGTGACTGATGAGCACAGCTCTTCTTTTTGTTTTATGCTTTTATTCTCATTCAAATTGCCACGTTATTTCAGAAACGCGTTTAGAAATCCAGCCGAAGCTTTGCAACCTCACGGCCATTTGTAGAACATCTTTGATGCGACCTCTTAAAGAGCCTATTCATGCAACACATTTTGTCGAAACGATTTAATTATCCTTTCATCCTCTGCATCAGAGAATGTGAAGAATAAAACCTAAAATCATCTGAAAAACTGACTATTTGAGCAGCAAAGGCTTATAAATAACTGCGTTTCGCTTCCCTTCCTATCTCGGACTTCTTTTGCAGTGTTGGGTTTTTTTCTGTCAGCTGGGTGTTTATGCAAAACTCTACCTGCTATGTAGCTTTAGTGACGGCAAAATAAAAATGTGAAAGCATTGTAATGAGGAGGAATCAAGACGAAGATATCCATAACTGTTTTGTGTTCTCATCTCGAGAATTCGTATCTTGATTGTTTTGTCCATTTTTACATTACAACCACAAATGAAATGAATTTTCTTGAAATGTTCTCAAATACACCAATGTTGAGTTTGTAAAATTGGTTAGAAAACAGAAATCTGAAAATGTCCTTCATTAGTGTTTAGATCTCTTTATCCTGCTTGTCTAATTAAATTGGGGAACAAACGGCATCAGGATTAAATTATCAAAAGGTTTGAACATCTCATGGAGTTCTCTTCAATTAGTTTTCTAAAAATGGAAAAACAGCTGACGGCTGAAAACCTGCATGGCCGTCTAAGAACTGCAGAAATCAAGATCAAGAGAGAAACTAAAAAAAACTAGAGGACAGCTATTATTCGTGCAATGTGACTTTTTTCTTTTTTCCTTTTTTGGGGGGCATTGTTGAAAATGAGGCAGAGGTTCACCTTCCGGTAGAACAACAAACATCCAGCCAGAGATTAGCATGTTCATTTGGCAGGACATCTGAAATAATGTTCAGCTGTAAAAACAAAAACATCTCAGTAAAGCTGCTGGGACCATACCCCAAAAAGATGTGCAGTCTTTGCATTAGGTAGATAAGGTGTCTGGTTTGATAAAACACATTTTGTCCCTTGGCCTCCGTTCTTTTCAGAGTGATGTCACTAAGTTGGTAGCTCGCAGACGGCTGAGGTAACCCCAGCAACCATCTAAACTTGATCCTTGCAATTCTGCATCCGTAAACTTCTCATTCATTGTCAGCTGGTAAAGTCCAAACGGGTCCCAACAGAATAAATTCAATTTAGCCACTTTTTTTTTTTATGTAACCTTGTCCCTTCACCGTAGTCTGCTGCAAGAGGTCAGGGCCTGGGCAAGAGGAGAGTTTTACATTTTGGCTCAGCTCTTATATCAGTTCAGGGACAAATCTCCTTCAGGACGTATAGGGTCAAAGCTGCAGACACCGGAGAAGAGACCCCAAGATAATTGAATTCCTCCTCCCAAATGAATGCAAATTAGAAAGAGACCTTGAAACCCAAACAGTCCATCTGTTGTCTAAACCTGCCCATCCTTTGTAGGGTCGTGGGTGTCTGTCTCCAGCGGTTGCCAGTCAATTACGGGGCATCGCACCGCTACGCATTGAGACACTCACACCAAAGAGCGATTTGGAGTTACAAAATTAACGTAACGGTCATGTTTTATGACTGTGGGAGGAAGCCGGAGTACCCAGAGAGAACCCCATGTTCACTGGGACATTATAAAATTTAAGGTGAATGTACCTGTTGGTATCATGAAGCTGTTGCTTTACTTATTCTACTATGACAGACTCCAGTTGATGTTACTGTTTTACTTTAACTAGATGCAAGCGGCAGCGTTCTGGATCACCTGATTGATTTGTGTTTTTTTAGGCAGACATTGTTGCAGTAATCAATGCGACTAAAGATAAACGCATGGATGAGTTTCTATAGGTCTCGCTGCAACATTAGAACATTTTATCCTGGAGATGTTCTTCAGGTGACAGAAGGTCGACTTTGTAACCGTCTTTGTGTGGCTCATAAGGTTCAGGTCAGAGTCCGTCGCTACCCCCAGGTTCCCAGCCTGATCTCTGGTTTCCAGCTGTAGTTGCTGAAGCTGTGAGTTGACTCTAGATTGTTCCTTTTCAGGTCCAAAGATGATAACTTCAGTTTTGTTTCCGTTTCAGCTGGTTAAAGTTGTGAAACATCCATTGGTTTGTTCTAATGATCTACTCCACGTGTGTCAAACTCAAGGACCCGGGGACCAAATCTGGCCCGCCATAGCTTTTTATGTGGCCTTTTATACTCCAAATTATAAGACTGCAAAACTCATTCAAAGTTCACACAAAATCTACAGATTCTCACGTTTTCTCTCTGATTTTTACTGCAAATCTTTCTCAAAACTGGCCAAAAACATCTGGTCTGAGTGACTCCTGCCTCAGCCTGACTTGATATGAAGTTGTACTCCGTGATCAGTACGGCGATCAATAAAAGATCACGTTTAACATCACAAATTAGTACAAATATCATACAAATTCCATACAAATATTTCTAAATTAGAATCACAAAATCCTGGCTGGACTGATCGGTGTGAAAAGATGCTCAGTATTATTTAATCTTAAGAAACCCTTATTGGATGCTGAAACAAACGGGTATTTCCTGCGTACAGCCTGAGCTAATAGCATATAGACATTAAATGCCGCCACTCAGCTCTGTGCCGCTTTGTGTTGGTGGATATAAACACTTTCTCTAGGTTCATAACTTTCTGTCTGGTTCACCATCCAGACAACAATACCTTTGATTGTTCAGTGTTGCTGCCATACTGCCTACTTAACGGAGGGCTGCCATTGTCGTGGCTTTTGTTCTGTTGAAAGTTTACCCAGAGGACTTTGAAACAGCCAACAAAAGCTGGCCCATATACACAGCGGAGAATGAATGGGAAGGCATCATATAAGCTGCGAAGACATCTACTGGCACGCATGAGAAGTGGGATTCATTTGAGCCTCAGCGTTCGTCACTGAGACGAGATGAATGAAGGCGACAGCCGTGGAAATGCCTCAGATACCTGCATCCTGTTGTTACCAAAACTGACGCGTTGAATTTACTGTAAAGTTGGGTTTCATTGGGAAAACGAAGTAAAAAAGTCGCATTTGGTGCGAGCAATTAAGGTTCTTTTGTCTTTGTCACGTTTTAATTAGTTTTCCCTTTTTGTTTTTTTGCCCCATTCAGCGTAGCTTCACTGACCTGTTAAATGAGGGCGGAGGGTTATGGGGGGCTCGCAGACGGGGGGCAAAATTAGGCGATTATTTTTAACAGCTTCCCACAGAGGACGGCTCATAACGACGTGGGAGCACGCCGAAGCAGCGCTGCGCCTGGCGCAACGTTTGGGTTTGTTGTCCCTCCATCTTGCTTTCTGAGTAAAACTTTGTATGCCGGTTTGGAAAAGTGGTTTTTAGGCGGGAAGATGCCGGAGACGAAGGAACGGGAGAAACTGGCCGAGGTCATCAGTCAGTGGAACAGCGACAGACTGGACCTGTTTGAGATCAGCCAACCTGACGAGGTGAGACCAGTCAGGATGCCACACATCAAACTACAAAACCACCGTTTTATCTTGATCTGTTAAACTCGTGCCACACTCAGTGAGTTATACTGATATTTATAGACAGCATTATTCGAATAATATTATTGTTATGTGAAAAAACTTAAAACAGAACATCTTGATCCCAGTTTTCATTCAATTGAAAAGAGATTAATCGGTGCATAAGGTGTATATCTTTAATTTCCTCGCTGTGGGACAATAAATGATATTTTAAAACGGTGCCTTTCAAAACTATTCCAATGGTATTTAGCTTTGGACTTTGACTAGGACATTCTAGCCCGACTGGAGATGTTATGGGCTGTTGTCTCGGTGGTAGGTGAACCTCCACCCCAGTCTGAAGCAAGCGGTCCCCCTAGCATGACACTACCACCACCGTGTCACACATGGTGATGTCCTTGGTCTTCATGCTAGTGTGTGTTTACTGCTTTTCTCCAAAAACAAAAAACAAAAAAAAACCTCAGAGACCTTCAAGTAAAAACTGGATCAGACACTGAGACGAAAATACACACATTTGGCCTTAATCGCTTAAATGAGTATTTTAAAAGCGACCCTTTTGGAGGCTTTTCAGTGACTGTCTGTGTTCTAACAGAACCTGGCGTTTCACGGCGTGATCCGCTTCTCCTTCGAGGATCACGAAGAAGAAGGCAGCGTGGCCACAAAGTGCCTGCGGGTTTGCAGCACCTCGACGACTCGCGAGGTGATTGAGACGCTTTCAGAGAAGTTCAGGCCGGACATGAAAATGCTGTCGACAAAATATTCTCTCTATGAGATCCACGCAGATCAAGGTAAGATCGCCATGCTGGTGGTAACTTGCTCCTGGATAACTGAAGCTGCTGTTTCTACCCCTGACTCTGCTGTTCCTCCGTTTCCTACATGGACATGCATGTTTTAGGTTCCTACAGCAGTAACCAATAACCTTCTGAATTGAGCCGGTTGCATTGCTAATGGATTAATAATTAATTTATTCATGAATCATCTTCCAGCCTGTTGTGTGTTCCAGCCACACAAACTGTTTGTGGTGAAGTTATGACAGATATTAATCTGCTTTGAGATTATGTCTAATCTCATGCTACACTGTGCAGACGCTCTGTCTGCACAGATTAGATTAAACATAAATGTCTAATGTTAAATTACTGAGATCACTTGAAGATGCTTCAACATGTTGCTTCAAAAGTATTTCTGAGTGCTTCACACAACGTACTGGTGATCTTATTATTCATCGCCTCTTTAATATATATGACGAGTTTGGTGATGTCACGATGTAATAACTTTTATTTTGTTCATTTGTGTCGTGAAGCGTCACGAGCCGCTAATTCTGATTTGTTCTACTTTAGTTTCTTATTTTGTTTCTCATCTTTTATTCTGTGTTGTTCTCTGGTGTTTATGAGTGAATGAACAACCAGGCTGTGTTGCAAAAACCAGACTCCTTTTGTAAACGCCATTTTATTATAATTAGAATTCATGTAGCAAAGGCGAGAGTCAAGAAAAGCGTCATATTCTGGTTTTCTTTCAAAGCTGTCCTTCCCCTACTTTTTTTTTTCTTCTTATAAGAGCGCAAGTTGGACCTGGATGAGAGACCTCTGGTCGTACAATTGAGCTGGACCTCGGACAACCGAGAAGGACAATTTGTGCTCAAAAAAGACCAGGAGAGATTGGAGGTAACCCTGCCGTCCAGTATGCTTAAAAAATAATAAAAGCTTCAATTAAATACTAAAAAAAAACATTCACCGATTAAAGATTCATTGTTAAACCTTTGACCTGCTTAGCAGGATTTGATCCAATTTTAATTTCTACTTTTTTTATAATTAGCTTTGAAAATATTTTTTTCCCAGCCTTTGGGAGGCCAGTCGGTGTAAGACGGGAGCTAACGATTTTAAAATAAAGACGAAATAAACTGAGGCTGCCGTTTCAACCTTTCTGTTACATTAGCAAGATTAGCATTGGATTTCCAGGCTCTGCTTATTTCTTCAACAGAGCAACTGATTGGCCTGTTTACCAGACTTTGCGAAACATTCCCAAAGCATGGATAGATGGACAAAAAAACCCACAGTGAGCTATTAAATTACTGTTTACGCTTTTTTACACCCATGCTTTGAATCTTCTTCCCTCAGTAACAGTATTCACTCTGAAGAGTGTTGCGGTTGGTATGACATAGTAACACTGAAGCATGCTTAGGATCCAATTTCCAGGGACAGAGCTGGAAATCATCTGACTGGTCCCTTGTTCAGATCATTAAGAAACCGTTTAATCTTTTAAACTTCAGCTCATTTTCACATGTAGCCATTATACATACGCTACCAATCGTCTCCGCTCATGTGTTTATTCATGAAGGAAAGTTATCATGAGAAAGAAAAAGGAGGCCTTCTTCACACCTTCAAGAGGACACTGTCAAGAAAAGGGAAAAAGAAAGAGAAAGGCCGAGCTGAGAGGGCGTCAGAGGGCGAGGACGGGTAAGTACTCACTTTTTGTTTGTTCAAGCTATCAGAATAACATCTTTTTTTTAAATCAACGCCCAGACCAGCTGAAGATCTGCTGAACAACAGTGACTGCTCGTCCAGCCTTGAGCCTCTGAGACGTTGCAAAGAAAAGAAAAGAAATCAGATTCTTGAAGGTGATATAAACAGCAGATACATTTGTTTCACAGGTGTACACCGTGAAGCTTATTCATTTCATCTTTAATTCACTCAGACTCTTCAGATCAATCTGGATTACCGGTTACAGTAGAGATCTGTGACGATGGTGAGTCTGAATCACAGCCTCTGAAGGCGTTGCTGCTGCTGCGTGTTTGTGATGTTGTCCTCCTGCCCCCTGCTGGCGCCTCGTACGTTTCAGCCGAGGAGCCCTTCCTGTCCGCAGTCATAAATTACAGCAACAGCTCCACGGTTCATTTCAAGCTGTCCCCCGCTTACATCCTCTACGCTGCGAGTCGCTTCGCCCTGCGGCGCCGGCGCAGCGGAGGCTCTCCGTCTTCTGCGAGCCCGCACCCCGTAACGTCCATCACAAACAAAATGGCGACCATGATGGGAAAGGTCATCCAGGCGAGTTCATGAAAACCTTTGTTACAGCGCACGTAAATTTGTAGTTTGTCGGCCTCTTCCTATTTGGTTAGTTTGATCTGTTTCCAATCTAAAACGGTGGGGAAACATAAAACATTTTACCCAGAATTCACTCTGTTGTTGAATTTAAACACCTTGGCTTGTTATTAGCTACATCATCAACTTAAATTTCACCAAGTTCCTAAAAAGATGGGCTAAGGTTTTTGTTGTTGTTGATCTTGCCAAAAGTACATTGGGAAAATAAATAAATAAAATAAAGTAAAATAAACAAATAAATAATAATAATCACCACTATCCATGACGATTTGATAAACATATACAGACAATTTCAAAAACAATAGAGTAATAAATATATGCATTACATACCATTATACATTTGTATACAAATTGAATACTAGATGCAGCATTAATGATGACTGTAAAATACAATTTTGTTTACTTTCTTTGGACAGAAAGCTTTCTCTGTTAGTACTCATCATTACCATCTGATTTTAAGACATTTTAAAATGTTTACTTCATGTCTTAAGAACGATTACATTTAATATTGTAATTGTTTCGATTCAGTTGAGTCTAACTTTTCGTTTCAACCAACATTTGAAGGGCTTTGTCTTTGCAGAGTAGCTTTGGTAATAAACACTGTGATGCTGACATTAGATTGACTCGCATCTGTCCCTGTCAAGTAAACAATGAAAATAAAAACTAAAAACATTTTGAAAATGGCAGAACTTCACAGTTGAACATTTGCAAGCTTGCTAAAACCAATCTGTCGCTTTGATTGGCTCTACAGAGGCACCAGGCCATCACTGGGGTTCTCGCCTTCTGGTTGGCCAATTCCTCGGAGCTGCTGAACTTTCTGAAGAACGACAAAGACCTCGGCCGGCTCACAAAGCAAAGTCAGCTGGATCTGTCCCATCAGGTGCACAACGCCTACAGGTACAGACGGATGGACGAACACGGACCTCTGACGCCGCAGGCTTGTCATTTTGCAAACAATCTGTACCAACAGGAAGCATTTTGTTGCTGCAAAAATAAAGTTTTTTGATGCCTTTCCACACTTTGAGCAGCGGAATAGTAATGTGTGTATTTACTGGTGATTACAACACGGCTTTGTCGACGTCACGATAGAAGCCGGTGTTGTTCGCCACAGAGTGAGCATCTGTGGGGGAAAAAAGAAATGAGCCTAAAACACGACCATGAGGAACGCCATGATGAAGCTGCATGTTGACTTAGAGGCCATTTTAAGATTACTTTTCACTTCATCAGAGTGTAACTCCTTAAACAGATTACGTTTTAACAATCAGATGAACAGAACCTTGTATCTTTGTCCAGATGGATTAAATACCAACAGGTATCTTTTGCTTGTTTGTTTGTAGCTTCCTGCTCCGTTGCCTGCAGAGAGAGTTGAGGAAACATCTACCAACTTTCCTCACCGATCCTGAGCGACACGGCGCTCTCCCGGCCGGCATAGGCACGTTTTAGAAAAGAAATTGATCAAAGTAGATAATTCAGCAGATTAAGATGTCGTGACGTCTTTCGGTCTGACCGCAGAGATGGTGTTGGACACCTTGATGAACGCCATGTCCCTTCTGCGCCGGTGCCGCGTCAACCCGGCCCTCACCATCCAGCTCTTCTCTCAGCTCTTCCACTTCATCAGCGCCTGGCTGTTTAATCAGCTCATGGCGCCAGAACCCGGCACGCCGGGCCTGCGCTCTCACTACTGGGGGGCCGCACTGCGTCAGAGGCTGACCCCCATCAAGGTCTGGGCGGAGAGGCAGGGCCTGGAGCTGGCCGCTGACTGCCATCTGGGACACATAACGCAGGTCTGACACCCCGCTTGGCTAAATAATTGCTGCTTCCTCCTATCAATATGTCAATTTATTGTTTTTTTTGTTTGTTTTTTTTCGTGGTTGATTCTGTCTCCTTGGATGCTAAAATAGTATTGCCTGGCTTGTTACTAGGCGACCGCGCTCCTGACAATGAGTAAGTACTCGGCTTCGGACGCTAAGGACATCCAGACTTCCTGTTTCAAGCTGAACTCCCTGCAGCTGCGCATGTTGATGGACGGGTACATGTACGGACCCAGCGAGCCTCAGATCCCCCCCGTGAGTAGTCCTCTACTTCGCTGACCCACACCACCCACAGATGTCACTGTCAAAAAGGACAGAGTTTGTATTTTTTTCAGACTGTAAACAAAACCATAAGAGGTTTCCAGCAAGGGTTTTTGAAACTGGCCGAAGCTCCTGGCTGTGCTCATTGATTTAATAGCATGAATAATTAATAGTTACAATGACCGATGTAATGATGCATAATACATGAAGGACATTAGTGCTTTGGCTTCGAGTGGACAACTTGTACAGCTTCCTGCTTAAAGTGTTCACACCCCTTGAATTTTTCCCACGTTGTGTAAAATTACAGCCACACACTTCTGGTTGTTTTCTTTTTTTAGGTTTTAAAGTGTCAGACTAACACAAACATGTGCATAATTGCAAAGCAGATGGAAACATTTCGTTTTTTGTTTTCTTTCTTTCCTTTTTTGCAAATTACAGTCTTAAAAGTGTGGGGTGCATTTACTCTGATAGTTCAAAATAAAAGCCAGTGAAACCAAATGTCTTCAGAAGGACAATATGCACACTTGTGTGTATTTTTATTTTAAAATAAACATTTTGCGAAGGACACAGAAAATTAACGCTGCACACCTTCCTCATTGAGAAGCACAGTGGTGGCAGCATCATGCTGTGGGAGCGTGTTTCTTCAGTCTCTTACTCAGAATCATCGCAGGCGGATTGGGTGTCCCCCATGTGGAGGGAAACATGACATCCGCATCGACTCTTTCCTGACATATTGCTCCCTCGCTGTCACTCCTGGTGCAGGACTTGACGGATGCCGTGGCGAAGGCTGCCAAGGCCTTGGCCGATAACCTGATTCGCAGCGAAGGTGGCGAGCTTCGGCTGACGGAGAGCCTCGACCTGCTGCTTCCTTTCCTGCTGCCGCAGGGAGGATACTCCTGTGAGATGCTGAGAGGAGTCCCGCAGGGGTTCAGAGAGTTTCTGGAGCCAATCTGTCAGAAAGGTGGGGGAGACCTTGGATTCAGACGCCAGAGTTGGACCGTACTTTAGTCTGAACATATTGGTTAGTTGCGTTATATTCCGTCTTGCAGGTCTCTGCTGTTTGACGCCTGTGGCTCATTCCCAAGGAGACTGGACGGCGCATTTTAGTGAAAACACACACACTGATGGGGATTTTTACTTGGTAAAGAGAACCGAGACTCCAGATGGTTTATGTTTTAACAACTAACGATTATTTTAGTAATCGATTAGTCTATCTTTTATTCTCACGATTAATTGTTTATCTATGGTTTATGAATACTGTACAGCACTTTGGTACAGTTAATATCTGTTTTTAAAGTGCTTCATAAATAAAATTGACATTGACATAATTGGATTTTAAAAAATTGGCACGTTCTGTAGATTTTTCATTTAGACACTTAAGCTTTGCCTGTACAATATTAGAAATAAATAATTCAAGTCCTTTTTTTAAATAAGAAAGTGAAGATTTTATTGCCTAAAATGCAATAACAGCAGTCCTTGACTATATGTTCGATCATTCACAGCAAAGGATATTACAAATGTAGAGTAGTAATAATCTGCCGATTGTTTTTTGGTTTAAACAACTAATTACCAGCTAGCAAAAGAACTTAGGAATATTTTTACAGAATTTTAACTTTGTGAATCTAAAACTAAGCCACTTGAGGAGTACAAAGGTTGTTTTTTTTTCTATCTTAAATGCAAAATGTGTATATTTTTGTACAGATTTAACTTAATTACTGCTTTGGTTGTTTTTCTCTCAGCAAGTTGCCTTTTTTGGAGTCTCTACTCTTCAGTTAAAGATTAATCGATTACAAAATTAGTTGACAATTATTTCAACAACCGATTAATCACGATTAATCCAACTAATCGCTCCAGCCCCAATTTTTAAACACTAACTTATGCTTCTTTTGTACGTCTTTTTTTTTGTCAGGCAGCGCACAGGCAGCCCGAGGTTGAGAACATCACTTTGCACAAGCCTCTGAACAGCGGCATGGGAGTCAGTATTGTAGCAGCCAAGGTGAAATCAGTTTAAACATGAAAACTTTCTACGATGCAGCGACTCGTTGAGTGAACAACCTGTCATGTTGTGCCGCAGGGAGCAGGCCAGAGTAACCTCGGGATCTACGTCAAGTCTGTGGTCAAGGGAGGACCCGCCGAAATGGTGAGACTGTGACACTTGTCTCATTCGGCTTTCACTCCAAGGAATATTTTGTTTTATGTTTTGTTTTTTGTTTTTTAACGAGATAAGAAATGAAGACGTGTCTTTACTGCGTTTAGAGCGGGAGGCTGGCAGCTGGAGATCAGCTGCTCAGTGTGGACGGTCACAGCCTGGTCGGACTCAGCCAAGACAGGTAGATACATCTGACAGCAAGTACAGCACAAGGGTTGGTTCATGATTTGCAGACAGGATATTTATGTGCCCTGAAATAAATTGCTTAATTTGTGTCATTATTACATAAAAATCTGTTTCTATGGTTCTAACACTTAGTTTGTCTGGTTAAAGTCATGAAGAGCTAATGTCCGGGCAACGTTTCTCCAACACACAGTGAAAGTTTTTAGCATAAAGTATCTATTAACGCTTCTGGCCAGGACCGGATGCAACTTCAGAATTTTTAAATATTACAGTATTACATAAAAAAAAAAATATATATATATATATATATATATATATATATATATATATATATATATATTATTAAAAAGCCCTTTCTAAAGGCCCAGCGTCTGACCGTTTGCTTCTAGGTAAACCAGAGGCACTCAAATAACACTGTGTGCCTTTAGCATTTAAATGTCTAAAATAGAGAGAAATACATGATTATCATCTTGTGTTGCTAACAATAGTAAGAACCAAAACAATTAACATATCCGTTACAGCTAACTACTGTGTATTGTTAGCGGTAGCGCCACATTAGCTTTCATAAACCTCTTTGACTCATTTAGCGCAGCCGCCATCATGATGCGCACCGGCCCCGTCGTCAGCTTACAGGTGGAGAAGTTTGCGGCGAGCTATCGAGGTCTCGGCAACCTACTGAACGAATCGCCCCCGGAAAACGAAACGAGCAGCAGCCATTTAAGACTGGGTAAGGATACCTCACTTACACAGTTTCTTTCTTAAGTTTTTTTTTTTTTTTTACATTTTAGGACCTGATTTGAACCTTTTATTGCCTCACAAGATGGCGTTTCCGCGCTGTACTGCGTTGTGGATCTCAGCCCCTCGGAGAGAAACCAGGGAGGCCACAAAAGAAAGATGCAGAAATACCGACAGCTTTACCGCTCCAACCCCAACGTGACCTGTGGGTGACCTTTCTGTTCATGACTTTTTAGTAGCTTCCGGTTTGTAAAGTCCATGTAATGCGTGAAAAAAGGGCAGCTCCGCATTCGTTTGCTCTCTCCCTGCACCAGCTGGCTTTTGCCCGGAGGACGGAGGTGAACTCTTTGACCGCGGCATGAGAGGAAACGGCTTTTCATCCGTTTCCAGCGACAACCTTAACGCCGATGTGAGGATTTTAGACGTTGAATTTATTTTTTTTTTCATGTTCTCCCCTTACAATCTCACTTTTGTTTGCTACCTTCTTCCAGACGCATCCCAGAGAATACCTGACGCTGCCGAACCCCAAGTCCAAGGACAAGTCCGTTTTTGAGCCGATGCGGTCGACGCAACCGTTTACGATGGCGGTGACGCCTTCCAGTGAGCAGAGCGACAGCAGGAGAGGCTTCATGGTATGTTGACGCAACTCTTTGACAAAAACACTTACTCAGCATTCCTTGCTCTTGTTTTTCACATTTTGAAAGAATTGACAAACCTGAATGTGTCTCATTTTAATTTTATGCCAAGAAACGTCTAGAAAACTGCAAAACAACCAAATCAAGGTTAAAAACTACAGGAGAGGAAAAATATTTGCGAGTACGCTGCATATCGCATTATGAGCCCACTCAGCCACCGTAGAAGGCGTCTCACCCACTGTATGTATTGAGGAAAAGCCAGGCAGTTAAGCTACATGCTAATACATGCTAATTTGAGTTACTTTATACACAAACCTGTTTTTGTTAAAACATAAACCGATGGAATTCGATACAGTAGGAAACTTTATGGTATTATTTGAAACAAATGTTCTATTTGTTTACTCTGTTTTTCTCTTATCAGTCACACAATTTGAACAGAATCTGTAAACCGTTTGAATTGAAAAACTGGTTTCTGAATTAAAAAACAGTTTCTGAATCGATTCGTTCCCCCAAAAATTGACATCAAATCTTGTGTTCACTACAAACCCACGTGTTTAGAGTTGCCTTTGATTCATAGTAACTGGAACAATAGTCAACGTGTTTCATGTGTACTTGTTTGATGATTTTGACGATGGCTTTTGACAAAATGTAACGTCTGTTGCAGTTTAAAGTGCTGTTATGAGGTGACGCACTTTAAACTGCCCTGTTGCTGAATTGTATGAATAAATCTACATTCAGGTGTGTGAATCTCTGTTAAAGTCTCTCTGTCCTCCCATGTAGCGTCACGCTGTGTCTCAGGAGAGCTTGTGTGCAGACGGTGGAGGCCCCCTGCTGGGCCAAAAGCAGAATGCGTGCACGCAGAGGAGCCGGAGTTCCAGTCAGTCGACAAATTTCTGCCGATCCGTTGCTCTCCGCTCAAGCGTTTCTACACACGACATCCCATCCGACCACAAACAGTCGAGTCCGGCCGACTTCTGGAGGAACCCGTTTTCGCAGCGGGCCGTTCCTACGCCGTCGGTCCGGCCGATACGCATCGACATTCCCGTCGCCAGAGCAGGCGGCGTGCAGTCAAACCCTCCTCTCACCACCTTCCAGCAGAGCCCCTGTGTGCTGAACCGGCTCCGTAAAGCCAGTGAGCAGAGAAAAAGTTCCCCAAGCCCAGCATGTCCATCATCAGCGGCCAAGGCGCTGCTCCAGCCCTCGGGTCTCTGGCAGCAGCAGAGGTCAGAAAAACCCCAAGTGTGCATCACTCCAACGAAGCGCGTTTCCTTCCAGGAGCCTCCGTCCGAGCGGAAGGCCCAGAGCGACACCCTGGTGCTGCTGTGTGACCCCTGGAGGCGGGAGGCCCAGGAGGCGCTGGAGAAGCAGCAGAGGCTGGAGGCGATGGAGCGGCTGGAGAGGGAGACGCAGCAGCTCCGAGCCAAGGAGCAACGGAGCACCGAGGAGGACGACAGGCTGCAGAGGCTGGACCTGGAGTGGAGGTTTCAGAAGAGGCTGCAGGAGATTCAGCAGAGAGGAGAGGAAGAGGAAGAGGAAGATCTGGACGTCATGGCGATCCTGCAGCAGCTGGACAGAACATCAGAGGTTAAGTGGATTATGTGAAATCAACTTTTTTGAGCTTCACATCGTGTTATAACGTTTTCCTGGAGTGTCGCCTTGGTTCTTTCATGTTTGAGAAATCCTTCAATCTCCATGGCAACCATTCAGCCATGCAAAACGTCTGGGTGGACCTAGCTCCACCTTCGAGATGCAGGTCCTCTGCAGTTTCCGAGCTTCCGCATTACAGAGCCCGACTCCTCCACTCAGCTCCTTCAGACTAGCCAGCAGCAATTGGCAAACACCTGGTGGAACTGAGCATCTGCTGAGGTCATTATAGGAGCTACTTCTCACTGCAATGCTGGTAAAAATGTTGTGAAAGGGTTAATAGAGGATCCACGTTGTGATGACTTCATGAAGGAGGGATTTCAGGAAGAGCAGGAGTTTCTTAAAGAGACAGAAGCCATTTTTAAGAAATTAAATTTTAAGAAATTTAATTTCTTAAAAGAAATTAAATTCCAAATTTAATTTCTTTTAAGTCATGTTTGATGTATGCAGCAGTTTTATAACAACTGAAGGTAACATAGGTACTTGATTGTGCCACAAAACAGCATTATGAGCCTGGAAAATATATAACAGCCTCTTTTGAAGAACAAACGTCACATTTCAGTGTTAGAATATTGGGATGTGATGGAAAACTTTTAAAGTTTATAAAACAGTGAATGCGGCATTGGAACATATTCTAGAGATTATTATTAATCTATCCAGCGACTTTTATTCAAAAGCAAACTTTCCCTCACTCACATCTGATTTTAATTCATTTATTACACTTTGCTAAATACAGCAAGCATTTTAAAAGAAAGGGTGACCTAAATCTTGATTTTATTGACCAGAATTGACAAAATTTTCTTCCAAATGTTTTGACTGTAGAATTTACACATCCTTTCCCATCAACAGATCTGACTATGTGTTTGTTCTATTAAAGGATGACACTATTTATTGTTGAGTTGGTAAAATGTTGTTTTTTTTTTTTTTCCAGCCCTCGAGTTAATTTTACTTTATGATTTTGGACCATTCAACAAGAAGTTTGGACTCCCCTGTTCTACTGGTTGAACATGTGGTTTCTTGCTTTATCGTGACATTCTTCATGTTTTTATGCTTCAAGATCAAGATTGGATCCGTCGGAAACATCAAGAGGAAACAAAACGAGGAGGAAAAACACGGCGGGAATCAGCATTCCTACAAGCAAGAAGGAAAACCAGGTGAAGAGAACCATCAGAATATTAAAGGAAATTCCAGATTTTTATTCTGCCATTCAAAAATTCATTTTATTTAGAAAATAGCATTCTTCTATGTTTTTGGCAGGTCAGAGAAAATGGACTGAAAGCAGCGTCAGATGAGTGAGTTTACACTTTGAAGCTCGTTTAGGGTCCAGAACATGTTCAGCATTCACAAATGCTAAAAAAAATTAAAAACTTATCCCTGAGTAATACAGATTCTCAGACCGTATGCATGAAACACAACAACTTGCTTGTGTCCGTGAAAACCACTCATTTCAAGTATCTCTGTGGTTTTGCATTAGCAGGAAACCGGCGGAGAAAATCAAGATGGCGTCGGCTCCTGAGAAGCTCACATTCAGGGAGCATCGGCGTCTTTTCTCCCTGGCAACAAGCGCTTGAGTGAAGGTTCCTGGTTTTCTCAAAGAAAACCTTTGAACAGAAGTGGAAAAAAAACAACAAAAAACAAACAATAAAGCATAATTTTGGATAGGATTTTACGTGACAAAAAGTATAATTTGATCTCAGAATTATTAACAGATGTTCAGTGAAGGCTTCGGAGGTTCATTAGGTAACATTAATTAAAAAGCGTCATGAAGACAAAGGAAAAGGGCAAAGAAAGTCAGGAATTAGGTTACACCATGACACTTTTTTTCTCCACAAGAAGGGAGAGAGAAACGCCTGTAGGCTGTGAAAAACCTGAAATTAGAGCAGAGATTTACCTTGAAGCAGGACGACGAGCCTGAAACTACAGCCATGTGTTGTAACGGCTCAGTCAAAGCCCAGACCTAAATATGGACTTTTTGAAAACCGAAACTTGCCGCTTCCATAAAATCTGACTAAAACATGTTAAAGTGGTTGGTTGAAAGGTGACAAAATGGGAAACAATGAGCGCTTTTCCAAGGTGCAGTACAGCAAACAAGGCCAGGTGTGTGTCTTTAAAACCAGAAACATTTGTCCCAGTAACACCAATTAGAGATTAATTTAAATTGAATACACTTTTAACACACACTCCCTAATTCTACATCTCATTTCCAAAACGATGACTGCATCCAGTTCCAGTGCAGACTTCATGCTCTGCATGCACAGAGCTACTTTGTGCGCTGGTAGAACTGCACCACGGCCTTCTCCTGTTCGTGGGTCTCGATGGAGCCGGGCCGGATCCTGCGGATCTCTGCGATGGCGTCGGCCCCGGACATCTTCCGGCTCTTCACCAGGTAGCAGGCCAGCATGGTGCCCGTCCTGCCGTGGCCGTGCATGCAGTGGACGGCCACGCCCTGGAGACAAACGTCACGACGTCGTCAAACCACCGGCAGAGTTCACACCCTGCTTTAGCTCCTGTGATTAGGCAGGTGTTTGCTGTTGTTTTTTCCCAACTGCTGAAGCCGGGTCTGGTTTCTACCTTTACAGTCAATATTATATATATATGTTGCATTGTGTGTTGTTTCCCCCCGCTATTTTATTTTATGTTACAACTGTAAGTTTTGATGTGTTTACTCCTTGAGGCACCTTTAAATTGGCCGTATGGTTTGTATCTTAAAGTCTCACAATGCTACATCCTAAAGGACTACAATGAAAAAATGTACTTTCACTGCATTAAATCCTTTCAATAACTTCAGACCTATCCAGAGTTTTCATGTTTTTAAAATCTTTCCTATTTTTTTTATGCCTGCTTTGTTACAAATCCTAACTTTTTTTTTTTAAGTGGAATAACTCAAAAATATACAATATTTTCCAAGAATAAACTGCAAAGTGGAATATTTTTAATGTGAATGCTCTGGCCTTGACCAGCTTGAAATTTAATAATTGCACAGATTTCTAAGCATTATTTTTTCGGAGCAATTAAAGTTAAAAGCACAAGCTGACACTCTTCATCTCAGGGAACTAAAACGGTGGATGACGCATTAAAGTGTAACAAAGCCAATTTTGGTCATTTTCACTTCATTAAAGCTTTTCAAAAGGACAAAAAAATGTTATAAAAATAATTTTTTTTAAATCTGGGACACATTTCATAAAATTACCATTTAATGTGAAGATATTAAAACCCAGTTATGTGCCACTTTGGCCCTCAAGGTGCTTTGAGTGTTTAAATTAAATTTGAGCTAATTTGCCAGAAGTAAGTTGCGTATTTTTCAATCTCTTTTATCTTTAAACTCTGTATGTAAATGCTCTAGTTTGTTAAATGTTTTTTTGGTTTAAATTGAGACTTCAGTAATGTTTATCACTGTCATTTTTAGCATGTAAATGGAGGAAGAAAAAGCATTACTGGCAAATGTACACCACACTTCTAAGATTTTTTTAATCAGTAAAGAAATGTGAATTTCCTAAAATTATGCAGTGGTTTTATCATAATCCCACTAAAAGACATTGACATTTGAGGTTGTAGCACAAAAAACTTCAAAAAGCACAAACACTGATTGGTTGGCTTTTAGACTGTTGATTACAAGAAATGACATGTTTTCAATGGCAACTTTGCTTGAGTTCTTATTTTAACCTGACTTTCAGCAAGAATGCGTTGCTGTTGAGGTAAGACTGGAAAAATAATTTCTCAAGTCAAACTAAACCCCAAATACTGGATATCCTGACCAAGTCTCAGTTAACTCCACTCTTGCAGAGTCGTGTTATGAGCGCCTACCTCTCCTTTGGAGTTGGCTCCTTCCACGATGGAGAGAAATTGATCAATCTGACTGGGAGAAGGAGGAGTGAAGTCGACTATCTTGATGTGGTGAAGCTGCAGCTCTGGGCAGGTGTCGTGGTTCGGTGGTTTCCTCTCGCACAGACAAACCAGGTGTCTGACTCCGTTGTCCAGCAGATAGCGGTATTCACTCGGCATCCTGGGCATGGCCAACCCGGCCAGCTTCCCGGGTTCAACCCAGGAGAAGTTGTGTGGAGAGAAAGAGGCCATGACTGTCTGAGGAGAGAAAAATGTGCTTTTATTTCCCTCTGGTGAAACTCAGTGATCTGTTATGAAAGAAAACACAAGGAAGGAACTGATATTTACTGGATGAGCATTACTTCATACATTTAATCCAGTAAATGAACATGTCCTACTCATTTAACATGACAAGTGTGTGTCAGCGCATTTTATTGGGGAAGCAATAAAACACTGCAATATCCTAGTCCTTTCAATTTCTTACATGACAAAATGTGGTAAAGCCTTTTTAAGACACCATTTATAGTTCTTATAAACTGTATTTAATATAAATAAAGGTGTTAGTTGAAACGTAAACAGGTGAGATCCAAACATTCCTATAATTTGCAGAACTGTGCAGTTTGTAGAAAGAAAATCACAGACAGGTTCAGACATTTCATCCTTCCCGTGTTGTCCGTTTTTAATGTTTGGTTTTTTTCTGAGGATGTGTTCAATCATTTTTCATACAACAGTCAAATATCAGTGAGAGAAGCTCATATCTTGTGCTATTAACACGGCTATCTAGGAACAAGATTAATTTGACTGCAAGACATACAGAACATGAAATGAGACATGCTCACCTAGCTCCACCAAAACATTGGAGAACTAAATAGTAGCATGTAGCTTAGCATTAGCAACGCAACAGTGCTAAGTGCACAACTTAGCTTTATAGGCGTAAACAGACTGCTGTTCTTATCAATGTAAAAAGTACATTCAGGTGTCGATCGTACTGGGCGAATACCGCACGTCACGTGAAACACAACAAAATTACTTACAGGTTATGTGAGATCAAGGCGGATTGCTATGCGCCGAGCTCCTGCTAGCTGAGCTAACTGCTGGTACACTGAGCAACACGCTCCTAAATAATAAAGTTTAAAAACGTAAAGGGGTTGTCTAACGCAACGTTGTCTGTCTGCAACAGACAACATAACACCTTTACGTTGACTGTTGCAGTTATAGGTGGGGCAGCAGCAACACTCCTTTCATCATTGTGACAAACACTTAGCATTATAAAGTAGGAAGAGAAGTAACCATACGGGTTTTTCGGAAATTTGCGGCACTGTCAGTTATAAAGTGATTCCTTTTCTTTTTTTTTTAATTACCGTTATGTCTTTTTATGTCAATGTACGTATCTAGTATCTATACATATATATACTGTACATTTACAGTAAATTTACACATGTGTTTGTCATGTTCATAAATCTTTACGGCTGGGTGATTTGCAGGAGTCAGGATGGCCGAGCGGTCTAAGGCGCTGCGTTCAGGTCGCAGTCTCCTCTGGAGGCGTGGGTTCGAATCCCACTTCTGACACTAACTTTTGGTTCAGTTGTATTCTTACAATATTAAAATAGTCCTTCAAGGAACACATCCTTGAATGTTTTAATGGTCTTCTTGCTTTAATACACCTAATTAGATTTAAGCAAAAACTTGCTGAGCAGCCATCAAGTGAAATTAGTTCTGGTGAAGCAGAAAAATATCTAAAAACAATGCTATAGAGTAATTCTGTACAGCAAAGAAAGTGAACAAGTTTTTTGTATTTCATGTTTGTTTCTGCCAGTCTTTACCAACATCAGCCAAAGGTACTTTATATCACTTAAAAGAAGATCATGGGAAGTTTTATTTTGCTCTGAAAAATTATTTTATAGCAAGGAAACCCTTATTTTCTAAAAAGCACTTGCAGAAGCCTCTTGTGGTATCACATATGGCATGAGGAAATTAATCTTGAGCATGTCATTTGTATACTTATTACCCCCCTTTTTTTCCTATGCTCTAATCTAATTTTGTTGATCACCATGCATGCATCTGCACTGCATATTGCCATCACTCCAGTCAACACAAGAGGGGAGAAGAGAAGAAACAAAATCCAGTCACTTGGTAATTAGAAAGGCAGATATTCTAGAAAGTAATATAACTATATATAGTTGGAGTGATGTATATTTTATAATATACATTATAAAAATTTCTGGAATGGACGCCTGATTTATGAGAAGGAAGAGTTTTTATCTACTTGCATGTGGCCAGACGGATAGGAGTCTGCTAATCAAGTTGCATAACACAATTTACTGTAACCCAATTACAGATTATTGTCCATAATCCATGAGGAGTGCAAGTTTTGGGACTGGCAGACAAGAAGCGCTCAAAATACAAGGAATCACTGGAAAAAAACAAACAAAAAAACTAAAACTAAACATGTTGGGTAAATCAATGCAGCGTGTCTCATTGCACTAGCATAATATCACATTTCCAACCTTTAATTTACAAAAGTACAATTTATATTTGATGTTTAAAAATAAATAAATAAATAAAAAAAAATAAAAGACATCCACATGCCAACCAATTTGGGAGGGATGCTAGAAAAAAACTAATGCTAAAAATTTAGAGACATTTGTACGACTATTTTTATACACATAATGAGAATATTTATTAGATTTCTAAATTCAAAATATGTATTTAGTTTGTCACATTACAAATATTACTTGGAAAATCTGATTTGTCTCTTATTTTGGTTCTCTCTTGTATTTTAACCCGTAGACTGAAGCCAACTTGCTCAAATAAGAGGAAAGAAAGAAGACCGTCTGTCCCTTTTTTTGTTATAATTAATAATACAAACACATCGAACTCACAGCACAGCACAGTTTATCTGCTAGTCACTTTGTACAAACAGTAGAAAGAGGGATTGTGTCCGAAGGAGACAAACTGCATCGTATTTGTCCAATTCACAGAAAACTGACTTTCAGAAAGGTGTACAGAGAGAAACGTCCCACGATTAAAAAAAGCTTTCACTAACCTGTTTGGTTTATAAAACGAAAAGAAAGAGCAAAAGATAAAGGCTTCATCAGTCACCTACATACAGTTATAGAAAGATATCGGTGAAATTGGTAAAAACACAAACAACTTTAAAAAAAAAAAGAAACAAGCAAAATAACACATTCCAATAATAATCGCGTGGCGTCAAGAGTTTTGGCTGCTTGTCCCCGTGGTGCTCCACCCAAAGAGCGACAAAACACAGCCATGACTTTATCTGTTTTTGAAATTTATACACATTAGAGCCTAAAAACCCGGCCGGTTGATTGGTTGTCCGTCACATCGCTGGGTGATTATCACCCCCATCATCTTCCCTTTTCAGTCATCTAAAAGTACAAATCCCTCCTACATGCCGCTTATCCTCCAAAAACAAACAAACAAACAAACAAACAAACAAACAAAACAAAAAAAACCATAACACCCCCTTCATTGGTTACATGTTTACTCTGCTGATTGGATCTCTTTAAATGCCAAGCGTTTAAGAGGGCAAAGAGAATGCGATGCCCTCCTACTAGACGATTTCTACGGGTTCTGAACGTCTGTGTTCAAAGTCCCGCCGGCAGCAGGCAGCTGAGGGGCCATGCTGGGTTTACAAGATGGCGCAGAAGAACTTCTTCTCCCTGAACGGGTTCTCTGACGCCGGCACCGGTGACAGCAGGGGGTCCTCTTTGGCATGAGCTTCGCAGTAAGACATTAAGTCTGCCGCTGCTTTGGACACCTGGAATTAGACACACACACACACACACCAAATTAAGTTTAACCAGTGAGCTTTGCACTAGAGTTCAGAGCCGTGTTTAGTCTTGGTTTAGAACAAGTCAACTTATTGGTACATAAGCCTGGGTTTTAAAATTCATCGTTTATAAGATGATTTTGATTTTGTTTTTGTTTTTTTAAACTAATTTTATATTGCCGTAATGTCATTACGTTAATGATAAGTGGAAACTACTGTTTTTTTTTTGTTTTTTTTATGTGTGGGCGAAAAATCTGACATATGTGCATAGAGTCATACCCAATAAATTACAATGTGTGTTCTGATGAGGATCATTTACCAGATCGTAAAGTACATTTTGAAAATTTACAATATTTCAGGCGGTATTAAACTCTTTTCAAACAAGACTGTATCTCTGAGATAAAAATATATTTTTTTATTGATGACGAAAATGTAATGTTTTCGTTATCTGTAACCGGAAAACCATCATAATTAACAGAAAAAAGGCTTTCAATCATCTGTCTGTGTATATGTATATATATATTGTTACACTTAGTGATAAGGTTGCTGAAATAAATGGACTTTACAAAAATATTCTAATTTATTGAATATTTATTGAATAGATGTTAGGGAGCGTTGTTATATTAACTCCCACTCACAACAAATAATATCCGTCAGAAAAAGGTTGCTTATTTCAGTCACAACCTTTGAAATGCCATAGCACTAAAACATTATATGTGAGACTTGAGAACTTTTTTTTTTTTTTTTTTGACTAAGCAGGTCCACAGTTTCTGAAAACACATATTACACAGCAGAAAAAGTAGTCCATATCGAGTACAAAAACATCACACGCACACAATTCAACACATGCAAATAGTTCACCTTTATCCTGTCAATGTTGGCCTCCATCTTCAGCTGCTCCACCAGCTTCCTGGCCTGCGCAATGCTGGCCGTGTTGTTACTCGCCATGGGCGCTCCCGCTCAGTTCCTGTCTGCTCAGCCTGCGTGGAGGAGACAGCGGCTGAAACATTTTACTGTGAGCAGCACCGTACCGGTACGCAAAGACGCAGCGCTAGGAGCAGATAGCCTGTTTCTTATCACATGCCAGTAAAGACACACTTGCACATACAGACGCAGGCGTGTATTATTTATGGTGCCTGTTGCTAGGCAGCCCCTGACAGTGAGGAGGACGTGGGAGGAAAAAAAAAAGAGGATGGTGACATTTTGTCCAGCATTGTGTTCAAAGTAGTTAGATAGATGAGAAGTACAAGTGGTTTCATAAAAAAAACACTACCAAGATTATAAACAATTCTTAAAACAGTAGAATACTGAGTTACAGTGATCTGATGGATGTTTGTGGAAAAGATCTTTTCCTGACCATATTTTTTATATTTTATATTATTTTTTATTTTAGAATTATTCAAATAGTGACTAATCTGTGTTTCTGTAAATTATCATGTATTTTTGATTTTGGTTGGACACCATGGACTTCAGTCAACTACACTATTTGCTGCTGCCCTCTGTTTAGAAAAAAAATTAAATCTGTCTGTTGTTGATACCTATCAAAATGCTGTAATACACATTCTCCGCCAGCAGGTGGCAATAATGTCAACATTACCGGCATCAAAATTAAACAGAAGAAGATTCCCAGAGCGGTTAAAGCAACGTTCTTCAGCTTACATTTAAGGTTTATTGGAAACAGACCCACTTTGAAAAGTGTTTGTTACAAAAAATAGATATTTGCTTGTGGCCGGGAGGTGTTAAACATAGCTGAAAGTCTCAGTGTTTGTAAAATACCTGGGCAAATGTGGGGCTGCTCCTTAATAATGCATATATAGAGTAGTTTTTTATAGGTGACGATAGAGGTGTAATTAAAATCTCATGACGTAAAATCTTGTAGTATTAAAAAACCCACAGTAATTCACAGGTAGTTAGCATCTGACTTTGTTTGGTGACTATCGGCTATTGTCCAAGATACAAAGTGTATCTTTCGTATCGACATAGATACGTCATCGTATTTATATTTGAGACGCATATTTTGAAGTAAGAGAGGAAGTTGTTCTTGAACGAAGGACAAGACCAAAACATTACAACGTGTCAAGCCCTGGCAATGTGAATGCTGCTAACACTTTGCCACTGTTTGCTAACTGGCAAACTGTTAGCACTGATGATACTGAAGTTAGCATCTACTTCTTTTTGTAAAAACATCCTGTTTTTTTGTAATCTGAATGTGTTGGACCCCAACAATCTACTGGAAAATGTTCCATAGAGTGGACACTGTTAAATTTAAAACTATGCCTTTTGCCATTGTCAGTGACCACATTGATTTCTGTTACCTTACATAGTTTGTTCAGAACTGCTTTCCATAAAGTGTTGTCTACAAAGTGTACGGTGCTAATACAGTGCCCACGTTCGATTTTACAGATCAGGGTCTCAAAAACAGCATCCTCCTCCTTGGTGATGTTAGATCAATCATCCCTGCGTCACTCTCCGTCATCAGTGTGTGTGTGTGCACTGTGGTGTGACTCAGTGTGAGGTCAATGCTGATCTCAGTGGGGAGCAATCTATGAATATTAATGTTCCATGGTAGCAAATCTGCTCATCTGGCCGAGGGAGTTACTGTATTAATTAAAAACCTAGCGTCGGGTCACATCGTGTGGACAACCACCAGTTACCAACAACAAGACAATAAAAAGTTCTCTTTTTAAAAAACACAACATTTTTCCGTCAGTTCAGTTTCACTAATCGCACGTCACACTGATTTTTAGACGTTCTGGACTTTTCTCCTATAGCATAGAATTACACAGTACTTAGCCTCCTCCACTTGTTGCTGGATACCTGACTGAAAGAAGGCTTTTCCCCAATAAACATTATGCCTGTTTGGGAGAAAATGTACTTGGAAATAACATGAAGTTGAACATGGTGTTGCAATGAAAAGAGTGACAGCCGTTACTTTTACTCCGTTATAGACTCTGCTGTTTTAAAAGCTGACTACCAGAGCAATAGTCGATCTAACAATTAAAGAGTTGACTTTGTGTAATTCAATAAAATGTGGAATTACAAAAATGTTTTCTCCCCCACGCCTATTAGCACACACTGATGTAAAGTTAATGATCAAATTGACCACATTGTGGTCTAAACTTTACTGAATACACCACCATTACTAAAGTTTTTCAAAGTAGTTTTCTGTGCATAAAGCTCAGACTTAATCCCACCGTTGAAGCCTGGGCCGTATTTTGTTTAGTTCTGGTTTGTTCAAAGCGTTTCCAGCTGGAACATCTCTGAAAGTCGTCAGTGCAAACCCAGCAGCGGCTCGAAGAGGATTCCTGCAAAGAACCCGCAGCAGACCGAATATCGTGTAACCTAAACAGTCGCTGCAGCCGAACCGTCCTGGTTGTTGTTAGTCTGACCAGGACAGCTCCATGTACGGGCGTACTCTGTCAAACAGGAAGTGGAAAGATTTACTGGGGTTGTTTAAAATGGGGAGCAAACTTACTACAAGAGCACAAAGATCAGAAATCAGACCTTGAGTTTCACACAGCAAGGTCGTGATACTATTTTATCACTCGGGGGACGTCGAAACGGGCCACCGCATCTTCAGACTATTGATAGGAATTCATGTCACACTTTAAGGTTTCTGGGATGCCTGTCGAGAAGTAGGTCTTCCATTTTTACGCAAAACACTGTCACAATAGCCCATTTTATGAAGATCTGCTCACTCTTTCTTTTTTGTTTTTTTTTAGCTGAAGTAGATGGTCATAAACTAATAAACTAACAGCCAGGTACTCTGGGTAAAGCTATAACACGTCCTTAATGTAGAGCATCTCTGATTTTTTTCTTTGAGAGAATCTAAAGGTCCCACTTTTAATATCAGGATATCAAAATGTGTTTTTATTGCTGAAATTACAAAAAAGATTTTTAATCAGCCCACATTCTTGTAGCTCTATGGTTTCTTTACAATAGCACAACAACTGTGAGTTTTAGCACTAAATCTACAAAAAATCTACATTTGTGGGCGGGTGAGCTCCATCCAAGCGGACAAATAAATCGTCTGAATTCATTTGAGTGTAAATGCATGACGTTTGAAATATAAAAAGCCAATAAATTAAGATTAAATGTAGTACATAGTACAGCTATACCCAATTCACAACAATAAACTGTGTTTGAATGATCTGTCCCTTCAATTTAAAGCTCACAGTCGGTTATTTACTTGTAGTTGTGGAACTACAGTAAAAAAAAAAAAAAAAAGCAGTTGTTTTCTCACACGTTTTAGGACACCACAAGTAGCATCAACCACATCGGTCAAAATAGAAGATAATGGGCTGACGGCTAAGCTAACTTAGCATGCTAACATCAACTTTTAACATTCCCACACGGTAATTTCCTTAATCTCTACACCGTGAAACACCTGAAGCAGCCTTTCTATTTTACCGTTGGACCTGCAGAATTTCAGAGATTGTGAGGAAACTGTAAACTAAAACTGCATTTTAGACTTGTGTTGTTACATCTAATCACTAACCATTTCAAAGACACTCACTAAACTACAACGTAAACAGCCAGTCACGTTTCACCTGCTTCTGTTTCCTAACAAGACATCATGAATACATAACCTGAACTTATGAGACGCATCAGTCAGTGAAGATCAGAACTGATCAGATCTGATTAGTGGTCAAATACTGAAAAACCTGATTTTATATGCAGTAAAACTGAAACCTCCCACGCTTTTCAGTCTATAAATACATTAATTAAAACAGCTGTTCTTTGATTAACTTTTCTGAGTTTGGTAAAAACCAGATAAAGTTTAGGGACAAGAGTTTGATCTCTTGCCTTATATGACTTGATGAATAAAGGCAGAGGACTATTTTAACTATTTTCTTTGTCATTGAACCTGCAGCACATCTTTTAATCTTTGACGAGTTATTTCGAAATCAGTCGAGATCAGCCGTTGCTACGATGTGGCTGTAAGAAGCGGTTTGTGAGGTTTGCAGGGGGTTTGAACAGTTTATTAATGCTACATGCTTTGCTTGTGTTGCTTCACTTGCATCTTTTCACTGTGTTCCTTCAGTTCAAGCAACGAGCTACGTTTCTATTGCAAATGTTCAATGTCAATATTCTGCTAAAGTTGAAAAACAAAAAATCAAAGTTTTGCAATTGTGGTGTCTCCATTTAATAAGAAACACGATTAAAATCCCACGTGAATAAGTTTGTTTATGCCAAAAGTCATTAAAAGTCATGCCAGGCCGTCGCCCGCCCACCACTTCCTGTCGTCTTCTTCGTCTTTTCCATATGTGATAACGTCCAGCTGCTGATCATGTGACTCGTGCGATGTGAAAAAAAGTGCTTCCATTGCAGTTTTGCCAAAAATACACAGTTTTATGCAGCTGAAAAACCAACTTATTCTAGCGCTAAAGTTTCCATTAAGCAAATTTATTAATTTCAATTTGCACAACCATATGGAGTCAATGGAAACACAGTGACAGTCTCTACTTTGTGTTGTTCCTCAAGAAAACAGGCAGGAATATTAAATTGTGTAAGACACGGTCTGGCGCCAAGTGTTAGGTATTCGTCTTGAGATTGACACTCACAGCTCACAGAAATAGTTTGGTTTTTCTGTTGTTATTGTACGAACTCGCTCACTACAATACCTACCTCGACAATTTAGGAACAAAAGACAGCGGTGCTAAGCTGAGAGTCGCCCTGCTGCTTAACGTCAGTGGACGTCCTCCCTCACACTTTCATATCGGCAGAGAGAAACGGTGAGGTTAAGCAGATCCTCAGTCTGGAACGGCCGACGTCCCAAAGGCAACAAGAAGGGGCTAAACTACATGAAGTATGACTTGTAGTTTGGAAAGTGTTTCAGCTTTCAGCATTAATGTGGAAAGTGATTTCCCCCTCCTCTCTTCCTTCCTCTCCATCTGCTGCAGTGAAAATGTTTCATGTTTTCTCACCAAACTGATTTCTGCAGGAATTTGGTTGGGTCACACAGTCTGACCTCCTCGCAGATCAGTCATGCTTCAAGACCAAAACAATCAGCTTTCTGCCGAGTTTTATTGCTTTGTCTTACCTTGTCTGCTTGCTCCTCCTTGCGCTGCCTGCCCTGATGTCTGCCACCCGCTCGATCAGAGGCTTGTGTCTGCCACGTTCTCCGTCTGCGGGGAGGAACATGGAAACAGAGGAAAAGAGAGGCTGAATCAGAGCGCTGCACAAATTCATTCCTGCATTCCAGATACATTCCTCTAAACCTTTTTTTTTTACGTCACATATAAAGAGATAATCACAACAACAACAAAAATTGATTCTCTCTTTTAGAGAGAATAAAGAACCATTTTTCTGCATGTAACAGAGAAATTCAGCTTTAAGTAACAATAAAATGTAGGTTTCGGAGCTGTGTTTTAAAGAATCAGTGCAGAATAATCCAGCTGAAATCTTAGCATATTTAAGACTATCCAGAAACAGACCTTTAATTTAACTCTGGATGCACAATCAGCTCCAAGAATATTTTATGGCATTCACAAAGTGTGAAATCCGTAGCAATTCTCTAAATATGCAAAAAAGCAACAGAAGACTTGTTCTTGGTGCAAGTGACAGTCTTATGGCGCCCCCTAGTTCATGTCGCCCCCAGTAGAAAGTCAGAAGAGAGAGAAGAAGTAAAGCATGTGACCAATTTTATTTTTTAAAATGTATTTTCCAGGGACATGATGCCATTTTACAGTACAATCACATAACTATGTTACCTTCAGTTGTATTTCAAAAACTGACTTTGAATCATAGCCGTATCTGATTCTCCTTGAAATTAGCCACTGTCTCTTTAAGAAGCTCCAACACTCTCTGACACTTCCTCCTTCTGCATGTCATGACAACAATACTCCTCCATGATGCCGTTTATAACCATTCTTAGGAGCGTCGGGCTGAGAAGTAGCTTGTGTGATGAGCTCAGCAGACCTGCGGTTCCACCAGGTGTTTGCTCATCCCTGCTGCCGCTAGTCTGCAGCAAAGCTTTCGGTAAAAATGGCGGCGCTTTGTGAGAGCAAGTTTTTAGCCGCCTCTGAATGGTTGCCACAGGAGATTCAAGGATTTCTCACACAAACATGAATGAATCAAGGCAACACTCCAGGTATGTTAGAATGTTACCACATTACAACATGATGTAGAGCTCAAAAAAGTTGGTTTTACATAATACCCATCCTTTAAAGTGGAAATATTTGAAATCTGAAGATGATTATAGGAATAAAGACAAAGGCACCAAGTGCATATTTAGACCAAGCGTTTTGTAAGGCTACATGGATTTCTTTTTGCTTCCTGTTCACACTAAATAAGTGCAAAGCAAAGTGGAGAACAAGAAAAGAAGCTGATGTCTGTTTTGGTAACTTAAGCAAACCGGGAGTCAACTTTCAGTAAGAGAACGACGACATTTCCCAAAATGTCAAGCTGTCCTTTTAGGTTTCTCTTCTCTCAGCGCCGACACCCACTTCCTCTTGTTCAGCTTCTCCCCTCCATCTTCTCTCCTTACAGATTCATTCGTAAACCATGTGTGACTCTGCCTCTGATAAATGGACCAATTATCCGGCATCGGTAGCTCCACCAAGGAAGGGAATCCCACCCGTTATAAATCAGGGCAGGATGCAACATTACAGCGTCATTACAGAGAGGGATCCATTAACAAAACCCAAGCCAAAAATATTCACGCAATGTTAGAGCTGCTCAGGGAAAAACAAAGAAATGAAAAAATTAGAGAGATTAGAGGAGCACTTTTGGTTGAGACAATATTCTGAATGACTACTTTGAGGTATAAATGTGATTTCATTGGTCACAGACTGGGGATATATAACCCAACGTTTGCTTTGGGTCTTTGTCAGTTTAAGTTGATATCTGCCCAATTTGAAAGATTTCCTAAGAAAACATGAAAATCATGTCATCTAGAAGAAACAGAGTGAAGGGAGCACCTTCCGCCTTTGACCTCTGAACCTTTCCCTTTGACCTCTGAACCTTTCCCTTTGACCTCTGAACCTTAAGGATACATGGAAACTGTTAAACTGGTTTCTATTGGTCCGATTTGGGGTGATAAAGTGGCAATAACCCAGGGTGGCAATTTTTGGGGGATTCAAAAGATTTGTCTTTTTTTTTTTTTTAAAGAATGAGTGTTTTGCAATATTGTATCTTGTATAAACTCTCAAGTCGATATCAGCTGAGTTCTATTAATATGGTGGTCTTTTTTATAAATTCAAGCAATGTTGAAGTATTTGAAAATGATGAAGATGTTTTTTTAGTGAATTGGGCACCAAAATTGGCTCCAGCCCAGAGGCCTAAATCCTTGTGAACCCGGCCCTGCTCAGCACACACTAAGAAAACATTCTTAGATGCACAAGCCTACAAGTCAAGAAACAAGCAGCGTTGCTCAAAAAATAACACAAACCTTTAAGTAGCTCAAGACGGGAACTTGTTTGTCATTGCCCAATATGTTTTTTTTCCCTTCTAAATACATTTGTTCAAATACATATTGCAGCATAAGGTGCTTTAATCGTTCCTAAAAACTCTGCCAGTCACTCTGAGGTCTGCGCAAACACACTTATCCCCATTATTACTGACTTTGACCTTTTCTCCTGGGATATGAATTCACATGACAAACAGTCACAAGATCATAACTGGTTGTATTTGTTCAGGTCTTGTGCAAACGTACAAACGTAGAGAACATGGCACTCATCACAGCATAATTACGTTTGCTCTGTCTCGTCTGTACTTTGGTGTGGCAACCAGGTGAAAACGTTGGAATATTCAAGCAGATGTGCGTCGATGTTTCCTGGTAGAACAACGCTCTAATCGCTTTTGCTTTAGTTTTTTTGCATTACAAAACTGTTAAAAAATAATATTCCTAGATACAAAAATAAGCAAACTAAAATGTGGTTCACCTTTTTAGCTGGTGTGTGTTTAAAAAGGAAGGCTATTCTCTAAGCTGAGTGGGTTGAGAGCTCAGCCAAAGACTCTTCAAGTAGACTGGGAGAACTGGAAGCAGTCGTCGTTCCTTGGAAATAAACGTAATAAGTTGATCCACTGACACGGAAGCTAATATAGTTGTTCTTATTTTTAAATGGTCTTTCCAAATCGTTGTAGTCTTCACATTGTGCAAAAAGAAAACAAAAGAAAGAGGTGTTGCTGACTGACGATATACTGTTTTAGATCAGTTCACTGCTGCATAAGCAAAAAAAACAAAAAAAAAAAAAACGAGAACATTAAAAAAAACGGACGAGATGGCAAATTATTCCTTGAAAGAAAGAAGAAGTTGTTGAGCTCAGTTTCTGAATGAACAGTTTCGCATCATCGCAATTATCAAGATCACGGGATGAGAAGCGAAGACAACGGGGACGTGTAAGCAGGTTTCTTGAGTTAATTTTCTTCGACTTGGCGGTTTTCGTTCCCTCCTTCAGCGCCGGCGAAGCGTCTCGAGCCGAGCTGCGCGGAGAGGAAAATCCATTTCCCTCCCGTGTTCCAGCCTTCTGCTTCCCATCCCTCCCCCTGGGGCTGACAGGTGTTTATTGAAGGAGCAGAACCCGTCCGTCCCTCCCACCCGCGCCCCAGTATTCTCTGCCCCGCTGCTAAGACCACTGAATCAATGTGACCCCCTCCGTCATCCTTCCCTTGCCATTTGGAGAGCTTTTTTGAACCTCCTCCCCTGGGATCTCAGGGGGTCTGTGTTCATCTCGAGGCCCTCTGCTGATGTGATTATAGCTCAGGGTGTTGCTGACTTAAAGGGTGATTAAGCACGGCTGGAAATATCCTGGCGGAGATATAATTCCTGACCTGTGGAGAGAGTGACGATCTTTCGCGGTCTGCTATGCACGCCACCTCCCTCTCTTTATTTATACCTCCCTCTTCTCTGTCTTTACGCTGTGCGAATGGTACGGCAGCCAGGCAGGGGTGTTCTGTCCTCCGCCGTGCCCGGGGTGTGAAATCGGAGCGTGGTAATTAAAAATGTGTCTCTCGCTAAGCCATCTGGACCCTGGAGAACAAGTGATTAACCTGCAAAAAGGCCTGCAGGGATGGCAAAGAGGAAGGAAGCAACTGCTCTGCAGAGTTATCTTTAGGCTCCTTGTGAATACTACGTTTGCTATACCTGGAAATCTTTCACGCTTTTTTCATCTGTCTATGGCAGATTTTATTCAGAAACAATCACTTCCTGCTTTCAGACCAGCAACCAGCAGAAAAGTGGTTCTACTTTGCTTCCTACTGAAATACGGTGTTGTATCTAAGCTGCAATGCTGGGGCTGGTTTTAACACAGCTGTATCTGTCCGAATGAGGATAACTAATTTGTTATAGTTGGATATGTTAACGTAAATTCACCTGAAACCAAAATCCAGACATCCACGTCAAATACATCTCTTAGTTTTTTGCCCCTTAAACTTTTTCCACATTTTGTCGCCTAACAACAACAGCTCATACTAGAGATTTCTTCTAACCTGAAAGTAGGCGTGACTGCTGAAAATTCCTAGAAATACTACATAGCTAACGGAGAAATTACTTAGCAATAAAATTACTGAAACTCATGCTGCAGTATGCAGACACTCTGTCTGTGCAGATGAATCACGAGTCAGATATTTTAAAAGCTTGGTTCCAGCGGCACAGCAGTTCAACCTATTTTCTATTAATTTAGCCAATAATTCGTTATTATGTGAGCACCTGGAGGCCCTTGTAGACAATGTATAGAGGACTTAACATCAGTCACGCCACAGTCAAGTCTCAAAAAAAAAAAGAAAAAAAGAAAAAATAGGAGTGTGGAGCAGAAGCCTGTTAATTTTACACCTTTTATCCCAGACTTGATATATAAAACAGTTATATAACAAATAACACTTTATGACATCAGTTAACGGTTCACATAATGAGTTTGTGACCCACATCTAAACATGATGTAGGTCTAAATTTGTGGTGAGACATGATAAAATTATTTAATTAATTTAATTTTGATCAAGTACATTTCTATCAAATGGTTGTACTTCCTGGTTTTCCAAATAAACCTCGGAAAACCTTCTAAGGTTTCCCAGCTAACGTTAGCTACAAGATCTGTGGTTTCTGAAAACTGTAAACTTGTGCATTACCGCCATCTAGTGGTCTGGAGTTTGTACAACGTGTCCTTATGTTTTAAAGTATTCGTGTATA